AAAAAGCCTTATCCTTCAACTTTTCTTCTTTTGGATCGTTACCTTTGTGAATTCATCGAAGAGTTGTGGCACGATGGTGAGCCTAAAGGCTATGCTTCCGATGCTTTGTCAGGGATTGGTCACTTTATACCTTCTGCCAAACCATACATGATTGCTGCATGGCGCTTGCATGCTGCGTGGGGCCGCGCTGAACTACCTTGCCGTGCCCCACCGTTCACTGCTGTCATTTTGTATGGGCTTGCGCAAGCCGCTTACAACAAAGGTTGGGATGACACTGCAGTTTTGCTTTTGTTGGGTTTCCACACTTTCGGCCGGAGTGGAGAACTTTTCAGCGCTCTTTGTAAAGACTTTGTCCTTTCTGGTACTGCGGGTACATGGACGTTGCCCCTCAGCAAATCTGGCCAACGCACTGGCATGACAGAGTCGATTCTTCTTGATGATCCTTTCATCTGCAAACTTCTGCAGAATTATTTGCGCTGTAGAGCCTCAGGTGATGTTCTCACTAAGGTTTCCCCACAGGTGCAGCGTAAACGCTTATACGAGCTCCTGGAAATTTTGCAGTTGACAGCTCCATACCGTTGGTACAGTGTTCGTCGTGGGGGGGCAACTCACTTCTTTCGCCAAACAGGCAACATGGCTCAGATCTGTCTGAAGGCGAGTGGCCCAGTTGACTGAGCTCCAGATGGGCCCTGCTCAACTTCAACGGATAAAGGCACTAGCTGTTCGTGCACGCCCCTCCTGGAGACATCTCTTTTGACCCTCCCACTGCCGCCCTACTTTGCTCATCCTACCCTTCCTGCTTGAGCGGCTACGTATATCCTCGGGCATCTGCCCTGAACAGGGAAGGGTGGAATGGAGGCTGGCCGGATATGCAAATGCATGACCATAGGGTCGGCCCGGTCAGGATGAGTGCTGGTGGCCCGATGGTGGCTTGGGCACATTGCTGAGGCTCTTGCCCAGGAATGGCGGTGGGCCATGAAAAATTCCTGTGGCGGGGGCCTCTTTAATGTGTGCGGGCCCTCTTGCTTTCTACCTTGCTTTTGCAAGTCTCATACTTATCGCTTTCTAGCGCAGCTGTGTGCAAAAAAGAGCATAGGGTGCCTAGCAGGAGCACTAGTAAACAGCTATCTGCATGATAGTGCGAATGCTCAGCACACTAGCATTTCGGGTCACCCACCATCCAATCCCCCTTTCACCGCCTGGGGGTTGCCTCCTTCCGGACCGGCTGGCCGGATATGCAAATGCATGACCATAGGGTCGTTCTAGGAGGGCCCGGTCAGGATGAGTGCTGGTGGCCCGATGGTGGCTTGGGCACATTGCTGAGGCTCTTGCCCAGGAATGGCGGTGGGCCATGAAAAATTCCTGTGGCGGGGGCCTCTTTAATGTGCGCGGGCCCTCTTGCTTTCTACCTTGCTTTTGCAAGTCTCATACTTATCGCTTTCTAGCGCAGCTGTGTGCAAAAAAGAGCATAGGGTGCCTAGCAGGAGCACTACTAATACCCGTACCCACCTTTTCGTCTATCATTCCCTGTCTCAGGTACACGTTTTCCTCCTCCTGGCCATCTTCTCGGGATGGATTGGGGGGTGGGTGGGAAGCAGGTCTGGGTGAGGTGGGATTTCTCATGCCGAGCGCTTCAACAGATAAACAGCAAAAATACATCCTGAATTTTCTTTGTACGTGCTTCCAAGAGACATTTATACACACGGAACTCTCACAATGTAGTACTTCCAAATATTAGAATCCAACATTCCCAGAATCCAACAGTAATCGGTGGAATCTAACAGTTCAAAAACAGTACAACAATCCAACCCTAATTCCACAATCCAACAATCCAACACTAATTCCACAATCCAGCAATCCAGCCCGGATCCAATATTTTTGGTCTGGTTGGCTGGCACCTGTTGGCTGGATTGTTGGATTAGGGTAAGATTGTTAGATTAGGGTTGGATTGTAGGCTTGTGGAACTAGGGTTGGATTGTCTGGATTGTTGGATAATTAGAGTTCGAAGCAAATATGAAGAAAATTAAGGCTTTGTTTTTTTGCTGCTTGTCTGTTGAGGCGCTGATCATGAGAAATCTCACCTCACCCAAACCTGTTTCCCACCCACCCCCCATCCATCCCGCGAAGATGGTCAGGATGCGGAAAGACAGGTGATTAGAGTAATTTTAAAAGGTAGGTACGGGGGGGGGAGGGCGGGGGGGGGGGCTACCATATGTACGCATATGTGTGTATATATATATATAAATGCCACCCCCCCCGAGAACCCGCCGCCGTGTTTTGCCCAATTTGGAGGGACTTGGACAACCAAGACAGCTCTTTGTCCTAGCAAGAAAATGCTTTTTCGACGACGCGATATTGGAAATTTGCTTTGTGTGAAGAAAAGATGGCTTCTAAAGAAGGGCTAGGGGCACCACAAAACAAAAACAGCTTTTGTGCAAACTATGGCGGCTTTTCAAAAAATGTTGTTTGGTTTCCCTTGGAAGACTGGCTTCATGAAAAAACATGTTTTTCCGGTGAAAAGATGTTTTTTCTAATGGCGTGCGGCATGCCTTTAAGAAATATGGTTTTCTGGTGTCTTTTTAACATGATGTTCTCCCAACACCGCCTTCTTCAGGAAAAATTGCTTCAATCAAACATCCCTTTCTAAGGAAAGCAAAATACCTCTGTTTTGAAGCGAGACCATAGCTGCTCAAACAGAATTTTTGTGTTGCCCCAACGAAAAGGATTTGTCTCAAAACGCCATCAGTCTCCAAGGAAAAAGATGATTTCCCTGGAGCACCGCTTAGCAACAGCACCTTTTACCCGGGAAAAAGGGTGGTGCTCCAAGAGGACCACTTCAAAACAACAATCATCTTCCTAGGAAGCCCATGCTTGTTTTAAGGTGTCTTAGGTCTATGTTTTCAAGCAAAATGTTTTGAAAGGTGTTTTGTCAGAGCTAATCTAGAGGAAGGTTCAAACAGGGTGGTTGTCCAGAAGGACCACTTCAAAAAACAATACTTTCCCTACGAATCCCATGGTTTTTCTAAGGCATCTTAGGTGTGTGTCTTCCAGCACGATGCTTGGAGCTAATACAGAAGAAAATTCAGAGGAGAAAAATGGTTTCCTGTGACATCCCTCAGCAGAAAAAGCACCTTCAACCTGGGAGACAGGTGCTTTTCCAAGAGGACCACTTGAAAAACCAATTATGTTCCTGGGAAGCCAATAGTTTTTCAAAGGTGTCTTAGGTTTCATTGTGTGTGTGTTTAAACAAAATGCTTAGAAAGGTGTTTATGGGAGACAACCTAGAGGAAATCTAGCTATAATGAGGAACATCCTTTCTTTCAGTGGTCTCTATCTTATTTTCATAGGTGGTTCTCAACACGAGCTTCTGCAAAACAATCTGTCTAAAGGCAGTCTACTTAAGATTAAGAATACCGTTTATGTTGTAGGTTTTTGTTGGATGTCCATGATTTCTCATGTTTCCGTTTCTTGCGAGGCGTATACAATGATCCGCAGACAGCAAGTCTAGCTCGAATTGGGAATGCCCTTCATTTTCTAGATGATTCTCGATTGTCTACAGTTGTTATAGAGTAATCTATCTGTATATCACCCTGATATTCTCGAATTTTATAGGTCATCATTGATTATATGTGCTATACATGAGTATACATAAGACGATGCAAATCGAAACTTCCACCATAAGGGATATCCTCTATCTCTGATGTTGTGATTGTTTTTGTAAAGCGTTCAGAAGGAAGCTTATATGAACGACTTAGAAATTATCTTGTCATCCTACTTTTTGATTGGGAAGGGCCAGGCTGACACACATGTCATGGTCAGGGGCAATGCGCCACATGTCACAGCTACTCTCCAGGTGCACACAGCATTGCCAGCTTGCAAGCAACTGCGCAGAATGAAAGATGAGATCATCATGTTCGAAAGTTTCTATGCTAAATAGTTTATTGGAGACGACTCCTGTGGCTTTCCTAAATACGTATCGAAAGTCCAACGTTTTTAACTTGGAATGGAATGTAACAGTAAGATAGAAGCTTACGCTTTTAACATTGGAATGGAGGTATTTAATGGAATCTTGGTATGGGCTTTGGAGCCTGACGTTTCCAATGTGGCTTACGGTCCGCTCTTGAGATGAATATGGTAGAGTGGAAGCTAAAGGTGTTTAGAACAGGTTTTTTGCCTTCATCTCCATTTAAGCGGGTTTAAGTGCATTTAACAGATGCATTTTAGATTCCCTACGATGCAGATGGAAGATTGAAGATTTTCAGAAAAGCTTTCTTACAATCTTCCATGTTCCTTCTGGAGGATTGAAGTGGGTTTAACGGTTTGAATTTCAATTCCCTACTGTGAAGATTGAAGGTTGAAAATTCTCAGAACAGTTTTCTTCAAATCTTCAATGCGCCTCTGGAGATTTAAGTAGGTTCAATGGTTTCAATTTAAATTCCTACTGTGAAGATTGAAGGAGTTTTCTTCAAAACTTCAACGTTCTCTTTGGAGGATTTACGCGGATTCTCAGAACAGTTTTCTTCAAATTTTCAATGTTTTCTTTGGAGGATTTATGTGGACTTAACGGATTTAAGTTAGATTCCTTACGTTGAAGATTCAAAAATGAAGATTTGACGGATTTCTCTGAGAATCTTCAATCTTCACAGCAAGTAACTGAAAAATATCTGTTGAATCAACTTTTTCCTGCACACGGATCATTGAAGATGTGCAGAAAACTTGTCTGAGAATCTTCAATCTTCAGCGTAGAGAATTTAAGATGAATCTGTTAAATCTACTTAAAGCCTCCAGACGGATCATTGAAGATTTGAAGAAAACCTAGCTTTTTTTTGCATTTTCAATGTAGAGAATTGAAACTGTGTCCCTTAAATTCGTTTCAATCCTCCAGATTAAGGTTATGAATTCAAGTTATCTAGATGCAGACGTGTTTTTTTGGGTCGTTCTGCGGGGGGGGATATGATATATATATATATATATTTGCACGTTGGGGCTGTGCTTTGAAGGCACATGCAGGGCCAGCCTGTGGCTGAGTATAGCTTTGTGGCTGTCTGCGCTGCTCCACCTTTGGCCTTCCTGGCAGCGAGCCAGGCAACTCTTTTGAGCTTCCTTTGCTTAAGCTCTTGCACGTGATTGCTGTCAGGCACCCCAGCGACCAGTGGAAAAATCTGCTGAGTTTGAATCAGATGACAGTTGCGAGGCGTCCCACCTTGCAAGTCTAGCCTGCAATAGGACAGGCTGCATGTCATGGCTGCATGTCATAGCTGCATGCCAGGATGACGCTGGCATGTGGTCAGCAGCCACAAAGCGATGGATAGCCGTTCTTGCAGCAGCCGTGGCACAATTCGTGTTCTCAGGAGCGAACTCTGCTCTGAGCCTCGGAGTGAAGTTCATCAAAATTCTAGTATGAAGAAGCTTCCACTCGCAGAAGGGTTGAACTCCGCCAGATCACGGTACTTTCTTTGGCCTGCTCAGGTTCTATACTCACTGACATGTTAGCTCTTTGTGGGGGTAGGGCTGCCTGTGCTGCAGGTTGGGCTGGATTGTGTCCTATGCAGACGGAGAGCTTCATGATCTTGAAGTGGCACCTGTTTTGGTGAGCCTACTTCAGGGTTCACTGATGCTGGGCTCCTTTGGAGCTTCAAGATACCAGTGCTGCGGCGGCAAGAAGAACAGTCCAACTGAGAGGACATGGTGCGCTCAGACCCAGGCAGTACTTCGCACTGTGGGACCTGGCTGCTCGGCTCCAAAAGCATCGTGTCCGCTGAAGTTCTGAAACACTGAGACATCATATTGTGAGTGGGATCGTTATTCCCGGAGGCACGCGCCCAAGTGTTCCTGGTATTGTTGGGTCTGCTTGCCTGGCTGCCATTCACGTCTTCTGTGCCGGCAACAGTCTTGGCCCTTACGTGGTATGGCTTAGCAGGTTGGGGGCACGTTGGCAGTAGGCAGGTCATGAAGGATTGAGAACATCCAGCCTGGAGCCAGCTGACAGGTGGACCCTTGGTGACGTACTGCAGCACTTTGCTAAACCAGCACTGCAGTCCAACAGGATTTCAGTTAGCTGTTGCTTGGCGGCAATGGTGCGGAAGCATTTCCAGAGAGGGGGGAACAGGGCCTTGGATTTGTACAGCTTTTGGTGTGCAAATGTGCATATTTTTTGCAAGCTGGAAGTGCTGGCTGTGTGCTAATGACGTGGTAGGTTATCAATGTTGGTGGAAATTTTGGCGCCAGCGCAGGACTGGTTAAGTGCGAAGCACTGCAAGTCTGTCTGTCCAGGCTAGGTTTGCAATCCGTTGGCATAGAAAGGGTAAGATGCGGTTTCGCAGGTCCGTTTTTAGTTGGCATGCTGATGATTCGACTGGGGCGCCTTGGCCGCGTGATTTGTGCCAGACTTCACCGCCACCTCACCAGAGACTTCCCATGGTTGCGGCGTTGTGAAGGTGAAGTTTGTATGTTGCCGGTTTGCAGTCTTGCCTCCGCATAGTACCTCTATGACATTGCACAGTGTGGGAGGTTGAGGTGGCAAACTTGATGAGGACCTCAGTCCTTTAAAGCACACAGCTCAAGCAGGTGTGCTGTTCGCGGCAGCAGTTTTTCTTGTCAGTTTGTTTCTCTTGCAGTTTTCCGGTGCCTCTTGGCATGCAAAGTTCAAGGGCTGGATTTAGTCCAACTGTCGTTCTGTGGTTGCAACTTGGAAAAGCTGGGCCTGGGCACCTTCAGCCTCTCTAGTCGGGCATTGAGGCCGAACAAAAAACGTCAGAGCCCACACAACTTGGCGGCAAATCTTTTGCGTCATGAAGCGCCTCCATCATGTGTACAAAGGTAAGACTCCACAGCAAACGCAGTTCTTTCCATTGCTGAGAAGAGTTTCAACAGCCCGCAAGCTGAAGAGTTTGCACACCTGCCAAGATCATGGCTTAGGAGATTCTGTAGGGCCGGGTTTCACGATGTCGGCGAAGGCACATGACATCCTTGATGCAACAAATTTTCAGAAGCCTTAAACCACGCATTATGTCTGGGGCCGATGAGAGCTGATCCGCCCGAGACTTGTCAGCTCATCTTTGATCACAACTAGTCCAATTCGTCACTTCGTGCTTTCCAGTCAAATCTAACAAGTCCCAGTGCAGAAGCTTTCAGATGGTAGCGCTATGCTGGAGGCCGCAAGCATTGCCTTGCGCTGTCGCTGCCTCGTTTTGCATGGCGCTGCTTGGCCGCTCGGCTTGTCCTGAGCTCTGTAAGCTGCCCCACAATGACAGCATGCCGTAGCTTGAGGGGTTTTGCGCTCAGAGGGACCTGCATTACGGAAGTGCCGCGGCCCTTATCGTGGTTGAGCCAAGGATTTGCTGCCGCTTCACTCCCTCGTTTCAAACTGATGCGACTTTCAGCGGGAAGACATCTAGGGGTTCTGCTAGAACCTTGATGGAGGCCGGATGCAACGAGGACCTGTGGCCTATGCCCCCCCCAGGAAGCAACAGCAAGACAGCGCCACTGCTGAGCGAGGGATGATGCGCCTGCATCCAGCGACCCTGATGCAAACAGGGTAGACGCATGACAAAGCAAGCATGCGTGATGCTTTTCAGCTTCGGGGTCGGCAGATGTATGCGCTGGATCCTGCATGTGAACTGCAGATTGAGGTGCTGCGATTTGGTTTCCCATGTCTCGTCGGTGTCACAAAGAATCTCAGAAAGGCACTTGCCTGGGATGACACAAGACTATCCAATCGAGGCGTCCAAGCCTGGCTCCTTACTGCGCTAGTGCTGTTGGAACTCTGGCAGCGTTTCAAGATGGTCCAGAACAGACCAGGGTCTAAAAAGGCCTCTCTGGGCTGGTCCCTCACATGAAACAGCAATGCACTTTCGAAAACTGGCCAGCTGGTTGTTTGTGCATAGATTCGTGCACTCCTTTTCTCTTGACTTGCTGCTGTGCTCGGGTTGCGAAGGTCCGACCACCTGCGGCGCCTGCAGAAGGCCAGGATCCTGCGAGCAGGTGAGACACAGCAAGGCGCCGAGAATCCTATTTCATTTCTATTCTTCGGTGTCCATCTGTGACGGTGTGCAGAGACATCCGCGGCTTCACATGCCTCTCCATCCAGCTGGCTTGTCCAAAAATCGACTGTAGTACCAGCAGCAGGAGATAGCCTTGACAGATGAACCTTGATGTTAGGGCTCGCAAAACCTGCAGCTGAGCAATGGCATCCGGTCACACTCTGCGGATGTGAGCCGCCTACCCTGATAAATGTGGTGGCTATAGCAGGCTCGGTGGCTGTTGGCACTGCGATCCTGCTTGGCATTTAGCAGTCTGAGCGCGCTTTGGCAAGGTGCATGAGGGGATGGCATCCGGCTTCAGAAGCGCTGCTGGCACTGTGGGCACAATTTCAAGGCAGAGCTTTACCAGCACCTTTCATTTGTCAGTTTTTTATGGGGTTCAACTCAAGTCTAGCCCTGATGAAGTCCTGAGGCACTATGAAAATTTCACTTGAGGCAGCTTGCGGGACACAGGGGCATCTGGCATCTGCTAAAGCAGATCCCTCTAAACAAGTTTTGCTTCCGTACTTGTCACCCACATCTGAATGCTGCCTCATGCTGTGGAACCCTGAGGGTTGGGGAGGGGACGGAGAGAGATAGAGACAGGGAGAGAGGGTTGCCCAGGTGCCCCTCGCTGGTGCATAGCTGTGAGAAGTAGAAAGTGCTCGCACGTGAGCTGCAGATCTGACTTGTGTAATGCACAGTACCCAAACCCTCGCTGGAGCCGACGGGAGCGGTGTGGACCTTGCGGGCTCAGGGCATTGGTTTGGCATCTGTCCCTAGAGCGGCACATAGCCTCTTATAGCCTCTTGCAAAAAGGAGAAGAAGATGCAGAGGGAGAGAGAGCGATAGAGGGAGAGATCTACCGGTGGGTTCCCTGTAGCCTTGAAGTAAGAAAGAAAGGAAGAGACATCTCAACATGCACTGCTTGCAGGCGCTGATGGAGCATCTCATTTGCACAAGGCTTCAGTTGGATATCTAATTGAGCAATTCCCACGGCCAGCAATTTGCCGCTTCCCAAGGCAGCACGTCAATTGCTGGGCATCGACACGGCAGTGCTGGAGAAGTTATCCATAGTGCTGAGCACCTTGCCAAGCATCTTCCAGAGGTCTTTTGAAAGAGGGTTGGCGACCATGAAAGGCACCGGAGTTACAGCTCCGCTGGCCTGGACATATTTCGAGACAAAGCAGGATGCTCAGAGTGAGACAGAACGAAGCAGAAGGCAGGCTTTGAGGCTTCATCATGACCCAGGTACTCGCTGACTGTTCCACAAGAAGCTCTAGCCGTGGCTGTGGTCTGCGTAGTTCAAGCCCCCGGGGCAGCTTGCTGTTCGAGAGATGGGTAGTGCTTTGTCTCTAAGAACAACCCAACTCAAAACCACCTGAGCCCAGCGGCAAGCTAAGGTGGTAATTCGACTGCACAGGCCGGAGGATGATGCAAGTGAGACTTTGACATCTGGACAGCTGTCGGAATTTGCTGACGTGCCCAGCGAGGAGGCGGGAAGGCAACGTCGTGCTAGGAGAGGGGAGTAGTAATCAGCTGAAGTTACCCTGCAGATTGCTCGCCCAGGGACAGTTTGTGGCAGATGCCAGAAGCTTTTCCCAGTGCGTAGGAGCGGGGACGCATCTGCGTAACTTAGATTGAAGAGGCTGCGCACCTCATCCTGGAGATCCAGCATGGTTCGCGCAGAACCAATTACACGACACCGGGACCAATTATGAGAAGTATGCCTGAGAGACCCGTGACTGTTCCACTGTTGTTCCCTCAGAATGGGGTCTGCTGTCGTGGATTCCTGGGGTAGCTCTGTCCTTCCACAGAGGCAAGGGGACCACAGCTCCATCTTGGCACGCTAGCCCATGTGCGTTCCCTGAAGCAAAAATGGCATGGCTCTTTCAACTTGACGAGCAAGAGTTGATCATTCTATCCACAGGATCTCTAGGTCACATGAGTAGAACGCCTAGGTGGTTGAGAAGCCTAAAAAATTGCACGACGCTGAGGCTTTAGCATGACTTCAGCCGCAGAATGGGCAAGTGCAAAACCCTGTAAAGTGATTCGCTTTCGCGCAATCGTCTGCAAAATCTGGGCTCCTGTAAGGCATTGCTGCGCCAGCGGATGCTCCGGTGATCGGATGCTCTTGGAGCACGAACGTTGTTGTGGTTTGGGCATGGATGCTCTTGTGATTAGATACCATGCGTTGCCTGCTCGGGTCAGCAAAGGACGCTAGAAACGCTTCAGAAACTACCTAAACCGCGCGAAATCACCAAGCCATCTGCGCGCCATTTCTTAATCTGGCTGCGAGTTGCAGCTGCTTCCATGTGATGGCTGCTCAGCTCAGGATTGTCGTCATTCGCTCAACCATCACCTCAGACTTTCAGTTCCAGTTGACCAGCAGGAATTGCTTCACAGTTTTTGAAGTGGTAGGACGTATTATAGGATGGAGAGTTGCATGCCTGGCATGGGGAGAAAGCCATGCAGTTCAGAGAGCGGCCGCAGCCAAGGTATCCTGACCCAGCCGCGCTTGTCCCGGCGCAGGCTACCCTTGCAGGTCTTTTAGCAGTGGATGGATTTGGAGACCCACTGCGAATGGAACCCATCTACTTCGATGCTTGTCAAACATAATTAACAAGGGTGTGGATGATGGTGTCTGGACCTGGACTAGAGGCCACGCGGTGTTTTCATGTGAGCAGACCTCTGGTGCAGATTCAGTCTAGATGTTTCCAGTGAGTGGTTGGAATGTCCCGAGGATCCGCGGCACAGCCAGTACCTGGCCTTCGCCAATCCCAACACAGGAGGCTAGCGGCCACTTCAAAAGCCGTGTGCCAGCGGGGTACCTCATTCCTCTTGATTCTTTCCACTAGGCGGCTATGCTTGGGCTCGGGCCATTGCTTCGAAGAATGACCCAGCAGCTATTCTCCAGCTCCGGGTGGACGGCAGCGACTGGGAGATCATGGAGTCGGGAATCTTCACGCGGTGCCCCTTATGAACCTGGCAAACTGTTTGCAAACCGCTTGCAAAGGTTTCTCTGACCTTTGCCATCTTGAAAGGTATATTGCAGTGCCGGTCAACACCTGGCTGCTTCTTGAAATTCGAGTCACCGCAGCAAATGCAGGCTTCCCTTCACTCGCACCTTAGTCAAACAAGGTAGTCATAAAGGAGAAGTGAGCTCGCAGATTCTTAAGGTGTACCAGCTTCTAGTTTCTCGGGAGCTGCGCTGCCACGTCCTCTGCCGTACCTGTTTCGGACCTGAAGCTGCCCACTGCCTGTCTTGCCGAGCACCTTTAGTTCTCAACAACGGCTCTTGCCAGCAAACGGTGCCTTGACAGAGACTTCCAGCAAATTGAATTGACACCATCTCACATGAAGCATGGCGAATGGGCGTCTCAAAGGCATGCCCGCCAAGTAGCTACTATGAGTGGAGCCTCGGCCAGGACATGACTTTTGCTTTGCACTTTGCACTCCCTGGATCTGAAGTCCGCTTGCTAAGCTCAGCCAAGGACCTCGTACCAATGCCAACCGTGCCACAAGTCGTGTGCTCAATGCTCAGGCCCAGAGCGGCAGATCTAACCCGCATCTGCTTGAGACAGCGTTGCAGGTCCTGGCACAAGTGCCTGTACGCAGTGCCGTGCGCTCTTCTTCCTCTCGCCTATAGCGTGGGAGGATTTGCAGGCACCATGCGTCCTACGATGTCCTGGAGGCCCAAGCCACTTCCCTTCTATCCACCATTCCTTGCCTTCTAGCCGCAGGTACTTTTGCTCATCCGCCGAGTCGCCGATGTCGAAAGCCCCCTGCGGCACCTGTGAAGACATTCTACCTCCAGTTCAAATTCCGCAGCACCTTTCAGGATTGCTGTCCTGTTGGAAAAGAACACGAGCGGCATCAACAAAAGCAAACGCAAAGAACAGTCCGGTGTCAACTAGTCTATCATCATTGATCCTCGATCGATCCTCAGATACCATCCAGAGAGGTGAGGTGTTATTGTCCCCGTATGTTCCCATTTCCGTGGGATTTTTGCCGCAGCATCCTGTCATTGTGTCAGGTACCAAATAATCAACATTGTCAACCGTCCAGCCTCGTCCTCCGAGCAACTTACACGGAAGCAAGAATAAGAGTAACAAACAAAAGCAGGCCACTCTCGTGCTGCAATCTTTTGCAGGGGGTAACAAACCAATTGGAAATGTTGACGGCCATCATCGTTGTACCGATCATGGTGACGATGCCTCATGTTGTGGGGGGAGGGCGAGAGAGAGGGAGAGACAGCCAAGAGTGTGCTTTTGATGCTGCTCCTTGCGTTGTGACCCACACCAAGCGCTGGCCAAATTTCCTAGTTGATCAGTTGCCCCGAGACCAGAGACCATCCATCCGGAGCCGTCGTTCTAGTAACTTGCCTCCAGAGTACGTTTGTGTCCCACTAGGTAGGTTTCCCGGAGAGCAGATTTTTGCAGGGGCAACAATGGTGAACACGCTTTGCCCTAGTTGTATAGCCTCGCAGCAGTGCCAGTGGGACAGCTCAGTGGAGCACAGAAAGGTGCACATGACCAGGCCCTGGGTACACGTGCAATGTGGGTCCTCCTGGGTGCTGGGATCGTGCGCTGCTGAACTTGGGCTTGGGGTGTACCCCAGGAAGAAGAAGCAGAAGAGCAACACAAAGCCAAGAGAGCCTCATGAAGACAAAAGGTGGAACGCGATGGCAGGAAAGCAGTCAACCAGACGAGTTCTAAGTGAAACCCGTGTGTGCAAGTTTGGGGTTTGGAGAGGCAAATTTTGACGAAGTTCCAGCTTGTCAAAAAGGGTACATTAAGCACTAAAGCTGGTCAATGAGCGATGATGCGTGCCTTCAGTTAGTGATGGTGCTCGTAACTTGCTCGTTTGGTTTTGCCGAAGTGCTAGAATGCATACTTGACTGCAATATTGCTGAATGAGGGTGATCACAGGGGCTTGTGCCTCCGGTTTGCTCGCACATTCGGAACAGGGGCATACCACGTATGTGTACATCAACATGTTTTTTTCGGTGGTAAAATCGCGATCTTGAGAATAGCCTTTGCGGCGCCACAGGTTGACAGGCGATTTCCGAAGCTGCGTGACTGGTATGGGCTAAATGGGGGATGCTGAGGTCATTCTTGCATGGGAAGCAGAAGCAAAGAAGTGAGGGGGTATAGCCTGAAGTAGAAAAATTGTTGTCAACGTCATCGTCATCCGCGGCAGCAGCGAGAGAGGCAGAAACCTCTGTTGGTCAGCATTGTATAATTGTTACCGTCGTAGCACTGCATAGCCCGCATCATAGTCTTGGCCCTCCTCCTGCTGCTCCTCATCATCATCATCATCATCATCATGTGCATCACTAATTTGCGTGTGGATCACCAGCTTTCGTTTCTCAAGTTGTTCTTCTTCTTTGATGCGCGCCTTGCCTCCTCCTCCCTCTGCTCTTCTGCCTTCGCTTACTGCTGCGTCAGCATTCTCGCCGCTACTGTAGCCGCGTTTGCTGTAGTCTTCCCTGCAAATCATGCGGGTCCTGCGTCGCTGTAATTGTGCGTGTCATCTGCTATTCGAATCAATCAGTATCTCTCCATGAGCTCCGAGGCATGATCGATCAGGTCAGGAACGTATCACCTTCTTCAGATTCGTATCTATTCTCTTCCGGATCATGTGCAGTTTGCAGCTTCGACAACATTTCCAGTAGTTGAGGCCACACATCGCGAGCATAATCCCAATAAAACTGCTGCAAATAGACAGCCTCTTACAGCGGCATGCCTTGCGCCTGCTAGCTTTCATTGGCCTCGCCTGCCCTTCAAGTTCATCCAATCTGCCTTTGACTTCCTGGGAACCTCACGTCCAAGTTCTTTGAATCTCTATCTAGTATTCGCAATTGCGCCTGACTTCTTGGATTGGATCCCTTCCAATTCGGCTCTTCGAAATCCCAGTCACAGCCCGAATTTGCAATGTCCATCAGAAGCAAGCAGAATGCAGCAGCAGAAGCAGCGGCTTCACTAGCAGTAGGAGCAGGAACCAACCATAGCCCGCACGAACCAGTCCACCAACTTTACCGCGCCATCCCAAGCATGCCAACCAATCCAACCCACCCAACTTCTTGCATGGCCTTTGACACAGCTTCCCTACGAGCGTTGAGCCAGGCAGGGGGACACAACCCACCAACCCATCTGACCAAATCAACAAGCATAATCAACACTACCGACCTATTAAGCTTGAGTCTGATCAATCAGCGACTCCGTGGGCTGCATCCAGTCCTGAGCCAAAGACCATCAGTGCTCAGCCCGCAGCACCTTCAATCAGAACTTGAGTCGTGATCGATATTTACCTCCACCACCAGCTTCCAGCTTCCAGCTTCCAAATAAACAGTGGCGCGCGCAGTCAAAGCTCACAATCAACATGCCGCCACACAAAACACTCACATTTGTCGTTGCTGCGCGCCCCTGGAACAGGCACTATACAATCCGCAAGCTGAAGCACTGACTGTCATTTGCAGTCGGAGAAGGCATTCTAAGCTAGCATTTAATTCAGAGCTCACGAATGCCAAGATCAGTTTGTACCACTTGCAAGTTCAGTGGAAACATTGACAAGTGCATCCCAGACATGGGTCATGTTGCATACTCGCCACATCACACGCAGTGCCAACACTGCGGGCTATTGCAGCAACAATGGGCAAATGGACAAGCTACAGCCATCCACAAGCGGGCCATTGCTATTCCAGTCACGAACATGCGACCCTGTCTGCAATCTCTCCTCCTCGCAACAGTGGATCATAGTGATCTTGGTTTCGATAGCAAAAACATCATGATAACCAAAAGCAGCAAAAAAAACAACAGCACCTTTGAAGTGCAAGTGCTTGGTGAGAGGACTTCGTGGGAGATACGATCATTCAGGACTGCAGACTGTAGGTTCGGTGCACCTGGTCTCGCATGTCTTGATGACACTAATTCACGGCATCGCAATCACCACTTAAGATTCTGGCTGCAGGAGTCTGTGCTGAACACAACTGCCTTTGTTTTGGGCTTGGCGTTGTCCGACGTTCGAGGCTACAAGATGGAAGCTGTGGAGGCCTAACTACCTCAACCAGTTCTCTGCATGATTGGGCATCTACCTTTAGCTGTGGCTGCCGACACAGCTGAAGCGTGTGGCAGGAAGAGTATGGCATAGTGGTTGGGAATGGCCCTCCTTTACTGTCGGTGGAGGTTATCTCGCCTTTTCTGTCGAAGGACCGAAGGTTTGGCTGTAGCTGTTGTATGTCTCTGTCTCGTCTGTTGCCGGTGCAGGATGAAGCCGACCAGATCTCAATGAACACTTGGTTCGGGGCATTCGAGGTTCCCGTGGATGAGGTCAAAAGCTTCACATGGGATCAAATGCACCCTCCTTTGCCACCCTTGCCAGTGCCACCATTCTTGCCCACCTGGGCGTGGGGCCTGGGAACGTCGGCAAGTGCAGCAATTTTGCTGCTGTTGCCCGTCTACTGCTGCTATTTCCGGAGGTTGGCTAACACAAGGCGCAAGTACAGACCAGCTGCTGGTGTTGATCCTACCTTCATGGAGCGAGTTGTCAATGAGCACTTTGGCTCCCAGTAGGAAGTTTTCAGTCATTTGATCTTTGTCCAAAGGTAGACTAGTTTGCGACCTTGACAGACAGTGCTTCAGTTCACAACTAGTGCTAGGTCGCTAGTTAGTTGGTGGACTCATTGCAGAGACCGGCTTCCTCATCGTGACAATATCATGATTCTACGGTTGGAGGGCTCAGCACTATTCTTGCGGACATGCTTTCCGAGTCTGCTTACCTAGGTCAGATGCGCGACTTGTGCAGCGCTTCGTCGCACGGGACAGTGGCGCCCAGCTAATGCGAGAAGCTGACTGATCAGCTGCACCCGGACTTCATGCTAAAGTTCAGAAAATGCTCGCACGATTCCGTGTGGATCACCATCGCTTTGCTGAAGGAGTGGTGAAGTAAGCTCGGCAAACCCACTCCATCCAGTAAGCAAACAGAAGATGACGACAGACCTTGGAAGGCTCTATGCCATCTATGCGCTGCAAAGGACTGGGCGTTGGAGAATTGGAGGTGCGCAGTGAGCCATGCAACAGGAAATAGAGGGTGGCTGCGCTCTTGAGCGCCTGCCACCTGCCTGCTGCCCAACGTGCAACATATTGACCCAGACTTGGTCACTCTGCGGAAAAGAGAGGTGTTATGTATCCGCCTTGGGGGATATGCAGTGATGCAGCGACACTGCTACCCGCAGACCAAAACAACTGCAAGGCTAGTCAGCGTTTACTACTAACATCCAACTCTTCCAAGGCCCACCACTCCTGCAAAAGATGTGACGTTGCCGCAGCTGCCTCTCGGTCGCATTCCGTGGTTACGGGACCAGGCTGAAAGCGCATGCTTGTGACAAGGAGAGTCAAAGCCGACAGCTTCATTTCTGATTATACATGCCTGCGCCCCAGCCTGTTCCTGATGCTTTTGAAGTTCCTTAGAAGACAATGTCTGCATCCAAGGTGCAGCTGAAGGCTACTTCGTGTAGGGTTTTCTGCAACTCTCCGTTTTGACGCTGTGCATTTGCTTCACTCGGCTCTTGTAACCAAAGTGACACCTCGCAAGCACGGCCGAATCCCACTCGACATTGCTGAAGCCCGCTGAAGCTGTGCCGGCTGGACGCGCATGTGGTAATGCTTTCAAAGCTACAATATCACGCGGCAAGGATGGAGAGTACAGCAGGTTTTGTTTGCTAGGGATCCAAAGATGCTCCCTGATCGCGGCGTCGGGGCAGGCACAAGACCTTAGAAACGGTAAGCGGTAACAAGAATTGGTCGTAAATGGTCACAACAAGTCTGTTGCACCTGTCCCTCTGCTGCTGTTTTCCTGCAAGCCCTGCATTGACAAGGGCGTGGCAGTTTTTGTGAGGTCCAGCCGTTGCTGATCTCATTGAGCTGGGACTTGCTCGCCCGTCTGCCAATCTTTGTGCTCACAAGCTTAGCAGTATGGAGTTTGGAGATCTACAACCAAGTCCTGGCACAAATAGTTGCACAGGCCTAGCTGTGGTTCTGTGCAGTCTAGAAACTGCAGCCGTACTCATGCCTGGGCATTCCTTGTTCAAAGACAGCATGCTACATAAGAATGGACAGGTTTTCGGAAACCTGGAATGCACTGTACACATGTAAACTTAACCCTCGACCTTCAAGGGTGGGCTGCAGAACTTTTGGCAAGAAGGGCTCGTGCTTGAAGCGGGAGCCCAGCAAAGGACGAAGGTGTGCCAGGCTTTGCAGAACTAAAGGTGCATGCATCGCAGAACGTGTGAGCTGCGCAGGGATAGCGGTCTCTAGCATCTTAAGATGGACATTTCAGATTCAACCAGTGGCCCCAAGCTGATTTCGCAGATTGTGGCATTCAGCGTGCCCTGGCCAGGGATTGCAAGTCTCTCTGTATCGCTTCAACACGCACTGGATAGATGCTCTTAGTTCTCCTGCAATAAGATCAGTGACAGGTCCCCAAAAGGTACGTGCGCCCTCCCTTTGCTATGAGCGGAGTATGCAGCATTGCGGTATTTAGCATAAATATGGTGCGCTTCTAGGGTGCCATGATTCCATGTACCGTTTCAGGAATCATCATTCATAAATCCAATGTCATCTGTGAATGTGTATGGGTCCGGGTAGGCAGGGGAGGTGACATCAGAATGATGCAAACGAAGCCGATGCAGTCTCGAAGACTGTGAAGACTGCGACATCGCCCTCAAGCTTTCTCCCAACCCTCTTGGGGTACGGTGGGCCATGGCTCCCCGGAGGAAGCGCTCCCATAGCACCAGTATCATCGTCGCAGTTGCCCTCTCCTTCCCTGGAGCAAATGTGCAGAAACGCGCAAACCCGAACCGCCTAAAAGCGCACTCTCTACGTCGATGTGCCATTTGCTTTTGGAGCATTGGCAGAATGAGACACTGGAGGCAAATTTACCATGCCGGGAGATCATTCATCCATGCGCGGGATCTTGCTTCCGAATCCCGCCTTGTTATTGGTGCATTTCTTGTTTTTCTGGGGTCACACTTAAGGACAAGTTCCCTCAAAGAATCAGCCCCAGCCAAGGCAATTGATCCATAGATCGTCGATTTCACTAAATGGCGGGTGTTACAATAACCAGCATGTTTAGAGCACCATTCTTGTCATCGTTGTTTTTTGTTCCCGTTGCCTGGCACCTTGGTATTGAGGTCTTTAACAGCATTCCCATGACGTTCGCAGGCAGATGGATGATTATTCTCATTGCCATCAAGGTTTCTGTTACGATTACTCTCACTTCGAGCGGGCTCGAAAGCGTCCTCTCGCCCAAAGTGTGCTCACATTCTTGCTTAAAACTCTGCCCTCGCCTGGTGCATTCTCACATGTTGGAAAAATTTCAAGCTCACGTTAAGGGTCCTGACTTACTCGCTCGAAATATCGCTCTCGTGTGGGGCATCCCATTTCCAAGCAAGCAGGATACCCAAGCAATTTCGTCTCTTTTGATTTTCTTCTGTGCATAATGTTTTTTCGTGGAGATGGGCTTTACTTCTAGATGTTGGATTTACAGCTTAAGAATGTCCTCGCCCGCCTATGACTTTCAGACTCCTACGTTGGAGCCCGACTTCTGGATTTTCGGCTAGAGAGCCAACGAAGCTCAAAAACAGATTCGAACGGGTTCCACACCTTCGAAGCTGCAGAACCAGTCGCGTTTGACCTTGCGTACCATACGCAAGCGTAAAAACTGTTTGGTCCAACGCTTTCTAGCTGCTCTTTGGCAATCTCAACTCACTTTCATACTCTTGTGGTCCCTCAACATGACAAGAAAAATTGTGAAGTCACTTCTGGCAAGTTACCTGAATCCAGAGAGATAGAGAGAGATTTTGGCTCAAGTCTCCACCTGTGCTGTCCCTTCGGGGGGCACGCCAGACACCGGCCCGTCCCTCCCTTGGGGTGTGTCCCCTGGGGGAGGGCGGGTGGACGAGTGCGCTGGCGGTGGGGGCTTGAGGCCCCATAGCCGAAGCCCATTTAAGATCAAACCGAGCTATCAGGGGACGCCCCTTCGCGAAGGTAAGGGTACAAACGGGGAAGTTTGGTTTCCTATTCTGGATTTCTGAGAAAACATAAGCCCCCTGAGCGGAGCACCCTGACCTCGGGAAGGGAGTGTGTTCAGGTTTTTCTTCGGCTTAGGGGTTGTCGTGAGTTGACGCAAGGAGGTTTGCCAGGACCTTTGGGGAAGTGAAATTACGGTCGTTACTGCATTGCCATGGCTGCGCGTGATACACCACTACAAGTGGGAACCGGAGAGGATCGATGTACAAATGATGGTGCCTTGGGAGAGCCGGGGGTGGAATCACCAATACATGGGATGGATCAACTGGCATACCTCACGCTCTGGATGAAGCAAAGCGCCGAGACAAGGCGGGAATGGGAGAAGGCTGAGCCCAATGAGGAGCACGATGTTGTCATACTTTCTGGCAAAATTCAGGAGTTGGACGTGCAACTTGGAGAAGGTGCAACCGTATCATGCATAAGGAGCCAACTAGTTGCATGGGGAAAAGGCGAGCCAGAACAGACGGAGAATGAAGAGAAAGCGCCGGACGCGCCGCAGCTGCGCATACTGGGAACATGAAAGTACAAGGATGGGAAAATCTTTGCTACTGATACCACACAGGCACAACAAAAAGAGACATGTCCTGATGGGAGCAACGTTGCAACTGATACAAATCGACAAGTGAGACGTTTTGAACGGAGTTGACGGAATTCGGCATGCACGCTGGTAAAAAGGGGACAACAGATTCCCTAGGAGACCAGCATCCCGAACCATACCGATACAATGCAATTCGTAACCGCACTGAGCCAGGGGAGTTGTTTGTGTGAAGGATTTATTGAAGTCTTTTCCTGACCTTCTACGCTTAGACTGTTACCCCGTGAGCTTCAGTGGAGGACGGGAAATTAACAACCGAAGACGGGAATGCAAGTAGCCTGCATCAATTCAAAGGCAAGAGGTAGTCGAGATGGAGAACCCACAATGAACATACAGTGGGAAATATAGTGGTGTATAAAGGAACCAAATGGAATGTACAGGGGAAGGGCGATTAGGAAAGTCGTTCACACAGTGAGCAGTGAGAAGCAGGGAAGAGTGATGCCCATAGGCTGTACGGAGTTTGAGTGGGGTTATTTGGAGGATAAATGATGATCA